ACCCGTCCGAGCCGGCCCCGGGGTCTCGCCCTTCTCCTGCCCTCTTGCCGATCGCCCCGCACTTCACCTAAACGCCTCGGGGCCCTGGGCTGATTTTTTGTGGGGTGACTGCACAGCAGGCACAGCCCTGGATCTGCCCGGCACAGGGGAAGTGGGTTTCCTTGAAGCAGGGTAGAAAGCAGCTCGTGCTTTCTAAAAAACAAGACGGACCCTCGGCCGGCTCGGCCACGGCTCTGCGTGGGCAGGGCAGGGTCCGAGGCACCTCGGAGCTTCTCCGTCCTCGTGCTGCAGTTCCGCAGCGTTGATGGGCAGCACCTCTGCAAAGCACACGGGCTTCCCACCCCGCGCGGCGCAGCTGGGGGGCAGGAGGGATTTGCAAACACCTTTCTGCCACAGCCGGAAAAAAATCCATCCCACAGCCAGCACCGGCAACGCCCTTTGTGGAGCCCAGCAAGACCGACAGGAGCTGTGAGGTTTTTTTACGTCAGTCTCCTCCCTCCAAACAGAGCCGGGGCTTGGCTGCCATGAAGGGCCGGGCTTCGTGCTGCTGAGCACAGCGATCTGCCCCCAAAAGCTGGTGGTGGGGCTGCTGGGGCTGCCGGGAGGGGGGCCCGGTACCAGCTAGTGGAAACGGCACTCATGCCCGTTTTTACGGGCACGCCGTGATTTATTCGCGTGGTCCAACTCACTTGTACAGCTCTATCACTGGCTTTGCAGCATCTTTGTATTTTCTGAGCCTGGCAGCAACGGCCTCAGGTTTGTCGTCCTCGCGCTGGACCAGCGGCTCGCCCGTCAGGTCATCGACGCCCTGCGGGAAGGCAAACACCGTCAAGGGGACGCAGCCACCGGCCCCATCGCCCACGCTGCAGCTCCCTGCCGCTCAACCGCGGCCAAACGCCTCCTCCTGCTCCGCATCGATTGAGCATCCCCGGATGGCATTTAACATCAATCCCATTTTCCTAATTAACATTTAGCACAACTCCTTCAGGCTGGCTCCCGAGGGCAGAGCCCTCCGGTGCTCAGTGCTTACTACCTGGGATTTCTTCCCCAACGCTTTTTTTACGCTCTCAGCTCACGCAGAGAAAGGTTTCTCTGATCTCTTCCTCCTGCGACTTGCTCCCAGCTGGCACCGCCGCGATGCCACGGGCTCTTACGCGGACATGGGGCGGGTTGAAGTCCATGTTGTACACTGGCTCCCGAGGGCAGAGCCCTCCGGTGCTCAGTGCTTACTACCTGGGATTTCTTCCCCAACGCTTTTTTTACGCTCTCAGCTCACGCAGAGAAAGGTTTCTCTGATCTCTTCCTCCTGCGACTTGCTCCCAGCTGGCACCGCCGCGATGCCACGGGCTCTTACGCGGACATGGGGCGGGTTGAAGTCCATGTTGTACACCCTCCCGCTGGCCGGGTGGACCCAGCGGGCGCTCAGGCGATCCTTCAGCGTCTCGAAGGGTATGTTCAAGCTGATCACCAGGTCCAGCTCGCAGATCCTGTCCAGCGCCTCGGCTTGCCCCCGCGTCCGAGGGAAACCTGCGCGAGCATCACAACACAGAGGGGCCGTGGTGAGAGGGGGAAAAGCAGCACGGATGGAGCCAAACCCACCCACCCCGCAGCCCCGCAG